CCCCAAAACCCCAAAACCCCAAAACCCCGAACGAAGAAATAGTCTGCGAAATCAATGATGGAAATATAATTGAGATAATTAATAAGGTTATTATTATTAAATAAGTAAAAGCCTCGCTCATTCAAAGATGTAAAACGACGAGAAAAAGATTGTTGATCTCTACATCCCAAGAAAATGCTCTGCCACCAACAGACTCATCACTGCCAAGGATGCCGCCTCAGTTCAAATTGATGTTGCCGAGGTAAGAAACTCTTCTTTTCTCATTTTTTGATGAAATGAATCTTTATTTTCCAATGGTATCTTATGAGTGTTTGTAGGTCGATGAGAACGGAAAGATCACTGGAAAGAACAAGACTCTTGCTTTAGCTGGTTTCATGAGATCAAGAGGAGAAGCTGACGCCTGCCTTAACAGACTTCTTGCTGACTTCGACCTCATCAGCTTCAGAAGATGATTAGCTTATAAGCCTCACTCGAGTCCTTATTTCTTTAAGAATTCTACTAATTCCTTATATATTCTTTATAAAAAATTAATAAATATTAACTTAATCTATATAGTCAAAATATATATCTCAATTCAAATTATCATCTTTGAAGGAGTTACTTTATCGAGTAGGATTATGTGCACCGAATAAGTGATGCTATTCTTAGTTATGAGGCAGCATTTAATTAATTGAAAACTTCTATTGCAATGATTGATCAGAGGATGAAGGCTGTACGAGGCTTTGTGATATGTTTAGATGAGGGCTCTAGGAGAGAGAAGTATTGTTTTTGTTATTGTTAAAGAATTGGTTCCAGTATTTCTAGACGCTTGTTTTGCTTGTTGACTTTTATTGAATTTCAGGGTGATTTCTTGAAAGAGGAAATTAATCCCCATCATTTTAATCTTACTCAGTCAAAGATCTCTACTCGTTATAATCCTAGAAAGGCTTGTGGTTGGTCGCTAAAATCTAAGTCGTCTTAGCACCACTTGAACTGGTATTTTACCCAAAACTTACACTAGCTTATCTCTTTTATGGTAACAGATACTTATTATGAGATTTTTTGTCTGGATTGAGGTTACTTTGGCTGTGCTCTAAAGCATTGTGTCCATAATGCTGAATACCTAATTAGTTAGATAGCAAATTGCTGCTAATATCCTGCTTATTCCTTGCATGAGACTTAAGATCTCTGATTTGCTAATTATCTTAGTTACTGAATTTAAAATCTGAGTTCTAGTCATCTCTGTTATAGGAATTCTGATTTTTGTATCTCATCATGTTTTGGCTGAGTTCCCCAGAGTTGTTATCGATTCCTGCATTTATAAAATTGTTTGCAAATATCAAGAGACTGTTATCGCCTTAAAAACTACTTGAAGTTATCAGATTGTTATTCAGTCTGCTTCCATTGCCGACTGAGCTGTTTCGCTCAATCTTTGAATCATTATTGTCATTGAAAATTATAGAGTCCTCATTTTCTCCTTCAGCTATTTCCTATATTTCTGGCTCATCAAACTTATCATCGTTTTCATCAAATTCTTCGTCTTCGCTGTCGAATATCAAGGTCAAGGTGTGATCAGTGCCCATCTACTCTTTAGGATTGGCACCTGGAGCAAGTATAGATTTCTTTCCAATATTTTGATTAGGGATGTAGGTCGGTATCTAATTATCTTTTTCTATACATGAGGTATTTACATTGTTACTCTAACTATTGTTGGATATGATTTGGTCGTTCATATTGTATGAACGAAGAGTGATTTACATATCCTAGTTTTCATTGTTGTTAGTAACAAATCTAGGAGCGTTTTAACTTTGCTATGAGAAAAAATTGTTCATTTGAGTAGTGGGTATCATGTTATTCTGAGATGAGGAAAACATAAAATCCTAATCTATAATGCTATTGATATTCTAATCAGACTCATCAAGCTTTGCTAATGATTTGAAAATCTCAGGAGTTCTTTGATTATTCTGAACTACCACTGGATTATCTGTTGAGATTCTCAAATTTGTTCTTAATGGGGTTGGTTAAATCTGCTAGTGTTCTTACATAACCTGACCAATTTTGAAAGTCTTCTAGGATGTGACTACAAATGGCTAAGTTTATTGAATTGATGATTGTATCATTTCCTCTTATTTCATTATGAGATTACTTTTTGTCTTTTGATGATTATTCTAGTCTTACATAAACCCTGACACAACTTACTTGTCACTCATCTCAATGTCAAATCCCTAAATATTTTTAAGATAAAGGGGGCTTACGGGTTGTCTCTCATTTTAACTTGAGATTAAGGGAGACTTTTATCTCTGATTTTCATAGTTATACTCAAACTTTTTGCTTGACATTTTTGCGAATGTGCTTGGCCTGCTTTCTTGCTTCATGTCACTTTACTATTTCTTAATAGTCTTCTTCTCACTACTAAGCTACATTGGAGATCTTTCGGCCTTCGCTGGTGTGATCTATAATAGACAATTAGGTTAACAATTAATTACTGATGAAACAAGGGAATTTTATAATGCTTCTAGTAAATCTAAGACTTTAAGGGATTTTTAAGTCTAATTTCTCTCATTTCTTTTTCGCTTGTATGTATTTACAGGGTTAATGTTAAGAATAACTTCCATTTCCTTCCTCAGCTAATTGATTATCTATTAAGTCTTCTCAATGCCTTCTATCGATATCATACTGTTTGCCTCAGCTTAGTTTTTAATATTCTAATCTGCCGACACAGACTTTAGATCATTTACATTTCTTGAAATTGTCTATTAAGGAATTGCTGAGTTATTATTGAAATTTTATCTTTATGTTGCAATTTAATCCTATTATTAGTCATTCATTAATCTTTTTGGTTAAGGAGAGTCACTTTAGTTATTCATAGTTGAGTCTATAAGTATATTCTTTAATTAGTTTATCTCCTAATGAATTTTTGAGTAGAATCCCTTGATGTCATTGATAAAATTATTGTTTTCAATATCAAAGTTAGAATTATCCTTATCCTCATCTTATAGGTTTATTCCGTCTAGAGATTTGAGCTCCTCATCTTGGTAAGTTTTATAATCTGTAGGCTGATTTTAAAATTCTAAAACTCTATTGTCCTCTATTTCTCTTGCATATTAATGGATTGTCTTTAATATGTTTGCTCCTCTTTTTTGAGAAAGCTCAAGCCCATTCCTTATTGCAGTAAGTTCATCATGAAGAGATTCAATAGTAGAAAAGGTATTAGTTAAAGAGTATGTCAATACATCTGTATTTTAGTTTGAAGAATTTGCATTGCTGCTCATTCCACCTTAAAGAACAAATTGACTGGGTGCTTGCAAATTACCCACTGAATAAAAGCATTACTGCTATTATTGATTCTAATGATTATTTTGTTATTAATTAGCATCTCTTTATTAAAGAATACTTGAAGCCTCCAACGATTACAGCATTTATTAACTCATATTTTAGTCCTTCATTGGATCCTCTATAATCATGGATTACGAATCTAATAGCAAAGTGTTTTAATTATCTTAGCTTGTATTCATAATTTAAATGCTTGGGATATTTTCTCTTTCAATGGCTGCATCTAATCCAATTATTGAATCACTTAGAATTTGGTTATTTTAAAAGTTCATTTCTCCTATAATCATTCCTTACACACAATCTCTGTTTTCATCATAATCTGTGTCAAAGAATCTATCTGTACCATCACATATTTGATAGTTTTTATTTGTATTTATCTCAGGAGTTTCTACTTAGTCAAATATGGATTCCTGCTAATTTACATTTGTGAAAAGGAAATTTTAAAGTTTTATCTTAGTTATATTTTTGTTTGAACCTGTTTTATCACTAGTATCAACACAATGACTAATTTTTGATTCATCAAGTCCTTCCAAATTTTTTAGTTATTAGTCATTGTCAAGGTCAATTAAGTCTTTTGATAAATCTTAATCTGAGTTATTAGGCTTCTTTTTTTGTATGGGACTAACCCCATTATCTTCATTTATATTATATTCATTTATTGGCTTAATTGAATTTTTATTCCCACTCTGAAGAAGCCATGAATTTCTATTTTAACCTTCTGAGCTTTTATTTTGATCGTTTTTCTTATTACTTTCCAATTATTTTATTTCCTCCTAGGCATAGACTTTGACGACAACATTTTTCTCTTCTTCCTCGTCTTCATCCTCATCATCTTCAATTGGCAATGGAGTTTTTAATCTAGAAGGATGAACATCTTTTCTATCAACTAGTCTATGAGGTGTTGTTAATCCTGAATTATTTAAATCTCTGAAAATTGATATATTATCAAAAATGGTATCGTCATTATATTTTAGATTGTGCTCGATTCTTTCTCGATCATCACTATCAAGTGATTAGTCATTATCAAGTTTTTCAGCGAATCTTACTCTCTTCCTATTCGGATCATCTTCTTCATCAATGTCTTCATTTTCCATCTATTTCTAAACTATCTTAATGTTTATTAGGCTCTGACTAGACACATTGTGGTTGACATTTTCCTTTTTCAAACAACTTTTTAACTATTTTTGTTAAATGCCGACACCTAACTCTGTTTCACTCACTGCCTTGTTCAGTTCAAGTTACTTAACCTTATCTTAAAGTTCTTTATTCTATTTCTTAAGTCTATCTAGTTCTTCAAACACTTCTAACTAATTATTTTCCTTCATATACATCTCAAGTTCTTTTCTAATGGCTTTTTCTTCTTGATATGCCTTTAAAATATTATTAATTGAATCAGAATTTGGGTGGAAATCCTACAAAAGCTTAGAATCACTGAAATTTCTCCCGTCTAAAATCGCTTTTTTAGCTCGGTCTGCAAACTAGAGAGTGCTTAAGGTCTCTTTATAACTATCTACAGAGGGAGAAATACAAATAATTAGAGCTAAATTTGAACTTTCATCTAGACTATCTTTAAGCACTTTTGTTAATTTTGAATTTCTGTATGGAATGTGCTTTCTTAACGGATCGGATAGAGCTGAAATACATTAGCCTAAAGCACTTAAACTGCTATTAATCGAAGTCAGTTCTTAAACCTTTTGATTTTTTTCTGCAACTGGTAAATCCTTTTTGATAGTATACTTCTCACTGCCTGCTAAATCTACAATTCTAATCTTAGATTTGATTAATGTTCCTTCTTTAGTATACTTTTCCATATATAACTGAAAAATGGAATGACTTCTTGATGATTAGTTATTAAGTGATGTAGAGCTCGTTTGTCTTTTTTATAGACCTCTCTCTAATTATTCATAAGCTTCCTCAATATTTGATATTTGTGCTTTGATCAGATCTGGAATTGAGAATTTGCCGTCTTTCTCTTCTCTAATGTCTAAATTATTCTATGGCTTAGGTTACTCTTTTATAATTGATCCAATTTAGCTTCGACTTTGGCTTCTTTTGCTACTTTTATTTTAATCCTTTGGATTTTAATTTTGTTTTTTATTACTTTTGCATAATAAGTCATATATTTTTTCGTTATATATCTCATAAAAACTCACAAAGAGAGTAACTTTGGCAGTATTACTACTTTCATATTCTAATTTCTAGAACACAGAGTCTATAGTTCTTGGAAGAATTCCACGTCTGTAGCTTTCCTTTAGCTATTCTCCTCTTTCTTCTCCTCCCATTATACTATATGTTTTTCCAGCTCCTGTTTAGCCATATGCAAAAATAGTCCCGCTTAAACCAACAAGAAATCCTTATATTATATTAGAAATCCTACTGAAAACAACGTCTTGAGGATCTTTCGGCATAAGAATGTTATCAAATTTAAAATGTATTTAGTGAAAATCCTTAAATAGTCTTATTCCATTATCCTATCAACAACAATAATTATAAATGACAATTATTTACATTGACTACTTTCAAGCATTCCTTAGCTTATTCTGTAACCAAGAATGGTCTTATCCTAACAATCAATTATATCTTGTTTGACCCTTAATTACCAACAATCAAATTTTTGTTTTTCTATAGAAAAAGAATAAGAATATGTTAGATAAAATATAAGTAATTTTGAAATGAAATAGAAGTCATCAGAGTCAAACTTACTTTTAACAATTCTTTATGAAGGAAATCATGTTCACTGAAATTTTTAGCGAATCCTTTTATCCCTGCACCCACTTCAAGTGATTTTATCTAATAGACATTTATATCCTTGATAGATTTCTCTTCATCGCTGTCATCAGCAATATCTTCAGCATCCCTCTCTTTGTCATGAAGTGATTTAATATTTAGGAAATTATCTGATGCACTATTTCCTTAACCTCTTAATGGCAGCTTTTGTTATTCAATTTCAATGGGCTGGTCACCTTGGAACTTTTGTAGAATGTCCACTATCTTTTTATGATTTTGAGATAGCTCCCTGTTATGCTGCTATGGAGAAATATCCCCATTATTCATCGGTGCATTTGTTTTAGCTTATTTCTGCCTCATTTTGTGAAAATAAATTAGAAAATTTTTAAATTATACAAGTCTTATTTATATTGTTAACAGCTTTTCTGGTTAATATTCCAATCACTGGGGTTTTGGGGTTTTGGGG